GTGGACTTTGATTCACCTTCATGGCCACTCTTCTCTGTACTGCCTGTCTCTGCCTTCTCTTTCCTGGGTCTCTCTGTGGGTTTGGCCCACATGTAGGTTCTCCACAAGTCCCCTTAGGAACTGTTCTGTTGTGACTTCTGCTGAACCCACTGCCTGGTCCTCATCTCCCTTAACACCCTTTGGGAGGCTTGAAAAGGAGGACAGTTTTTGTAAACTAAAAAGACATTTGTGTGTGCCAATCAGCCTTGGCACTTATCTTACAGGCTGAACAAAATTGAAGACCAGAGGTGCCCCCTCCATAGCCCAAGATTGAAGATAAATCCTGAAATGAAAGATTACCAAAGATTCATCCAGTTTCCTATTCCAAGTCAATCTTCTATCCTTGGATTGTAACCTTGCAGGATCTTGAACTCATATCCTTTCAGGGATCATAGAAGTGAGCACATCAAACCTGCCATGAAAAAGTTGTGGAAAAGTGGGCAATATTGCCAAATGCAAAATATCTGGGCTATATTTTGGTCTGAGATCACCATTTGAGATTCCTGGAAGATAGGGAACATGGAGGCCAACTCCCATAGGGATATTATATAAGACTCCAAGCCCTAAGTCAATGATCTCAACCCTGTGGATCAGTAGTCTCCATGTAATGGGGCATCTTAACCCATTTTGTGCTGCTATAACAGAATACCACAGACTGGGGAATCTATAAAGAAAAGAAATTTATTTCTTAGAGTTCTGGAGGCTAGGAAGTCCAAGGATGAGGGGTCTGCATCTGGTGAGGACCTTCTTGCTGTGTCATCTCATGGCTGAAGGCAGAAGAGCAAGAATTTGAGAAAGAAAGAGCAAAAGGGGCTTAACTTGCTTTTAATGCAAGCCCACTCCCAAGATAACTAACCAACTCCTGAGATAATGACATTAATCCATGCATAGGGGCAGAATCTCATAACCTAATCACTCTTATTAGGCCCCACCTCTCAACACCGTCACATAAAGGATTAAGTTTCCAACACATAAGCTCTGGGGACACATGCAGACCATAGCATGGGGGATTGATGAGTATATGGGAGGGACCAGTCATGAATATTTTGGCTGAAAGTTGTGTTTGAGAGCTGAAGCCATGGTCCATCATGGCAGGGCACACATAGACCTTTGAATGCTCTGAGAAATGAATATTGAACAGTGTAACTCATGGCAGAAGGTGGAATA